GAGGTTCCTGCTGACTCTGGTCACACGTGTAACCCCCCCCCCACCGTCATTCGGCCTTCTGTCATGTTTTCCTTTGCTCCCGAGGTCGTTATTAGCATGCAGTGCCCTTCCTCGAGAGCCCACCACGTGGGTTCACAGTCATGCCTTTGCCTTGTCTGGACCACTCTGCCACTTGTCTTCACCTCAAGGATTCTCTGTCCATTGCACATCTCAGCTCAAGGTCCTCTTCTACTCTGGCAGGTGGGGTCAGGAGCTGCCCCGCTCCCTCCTCCTCTGCAGCCCACCTGCCCAGCCCAGCTCCTCCTCTCCTGCTTGGTCTGAACATGGGCTTGGCCTGGAGCTGGGGCCCAGGAGGGGCTGGTGAACCGAGCTGAGCAGGGAAGGAGAGGGGCTGTCTGGGGGTGGGTGGGGAAGGAGGGTGTTGTTTGACCGCAGCCGTGTACCAAGGTGGTTCTGGGTGGAGACCCTCAGAAGCCCCAGAGCTACGTGATCCCCAGGGCACAGGGTCAAAGTTAAAACCTTAGAAGGACCTGGGCCTCCTATGAGCTTGGCCAACACCAGCAGGTGACTTCCTCATCTGGATAATGGAAAAGCCATGTCTGGTGCAGACTGCAGCCCCTCGGAGAGGTGTGGGAGGGATGTGGGTGATTCAGACCATGGTGGGGGTAGGCCTGGCCCGTGGGAAGACATGCCATCTCTACACCCACGGAGTCTGCTCCCAGCACGGGTGCAGACTCAGGACCAGGGCCACTTCAGCTCCGCTTCCCCTGGGATTCCACTCCCGACTTGCCTTGGCCTTGCCCTGGAAGTTGAAAGTCAGCACGTACTCTCCGGGCCGAGTCTCACTCTGGCGGATCACGAAAAGGCCGTGGCTCCGGGGTCCGCCTGCCAGCACCAGCTGAGCTGCCTTGACTCGTGAGAGCGTCCCGTGGAACCAGGGGTAGTCAGAGAGCTCCAGCTCGGGCTCTGCCTCGGGCTCCGGCTCTGCTCCCTCTTCCCCTGGAGAGGGATGACAATGTGAAAGGCATGGGGGAAGAGACGGGCGGCAAATACACGAGAATGGGGATGCATCATCTTGTTGGCCTTTTGGATGTAAGATGCTATTTGAATAATTTACAGTGAGGCAGGGAGCTGACCCAACCCACTCAGCATATGGGGTAAATTGAGGCACAGAGAAGTGAAGGACTCTCCTGGGGTCACTCTCTAAGTCAGCAACAAACCTGGGAACAATTCAAGTGTCCTTGTCCCTGACCCCTGGTTCCGACCCTTTGCACCCCTTACTGTGAGCACTTTCTATTGAAACTGGGGCCCGGGGGAGGGGTCATACTCCCGGACTGGCCTGCAAAAGCCAGAACTATCAAGCTGCTGAGCAAAGGACCCAGTGGAATGAAATGTCATAGCTTCTGAGGCTCAGGGAGAGCTTTGGAGCGGCCTGTGGGTGCCTGTGGGCTGGGGTGGGGATGCAGGGAAGGGCAGAAGGGAAAGTGCAGTCCCACTGCACCTGGGTTATTGCTCTCGCTGCTCCCTGGGGACTCCAGGGTCTCCAGGAAGGTCTCCAGCGGGACATGGACCAGGGACTCCCCGACGGCATCTCGAGCTCGGCTGTGTGGGGCTGTCACCACGGCTGTCATTGTCTCTGGGGGCCGGGGCAGGTCCACTGCTGGAGAAAGTAAGAGGCACATCTGTCTGGCCATCTTTGAGTGACTGCCCCCTCTAATAACCCAGCCAGCTCCATCCCCACCTACCGTCTGTCAGGAGCTCACAGCTGCAGGAGGTCACACGGCTGGCCAGACAGCCTCCCCGGGCACAGGAGAGCTCAGTGTCTTCCTCGCTGTCCCTGTGAAGACAAGAAAGCTCAACTATGTCCTGCCATGGGATTTGCCAACCCGGATGATGGGCTGCTCACGGAGCCAGGCAATGGCTGACAGTTCCACGGCCAGTGTCAGCCCTGTCCTGCTCGCCTGGGTTTCTCTGCCTTCATGTCCCTCTGTCACACCCTCAGCTTGCTCTGTGGCCACCACGTGAATGAGTGGCCATAGGGAGTGGTCTCCAGGTGAGTGCAGCTCTCCTTGAGGTCACATGACCCCTGCCCCCAAGCCATGATAGGCTGGCCTCCTCCTGGGAGCCCATGGAGGCCCTCCTGTAGGGGCAGGCATAGTGGTGGGAGGGGCCTGGGCCGGCTCCCCTCCCTGCCCTGGGCCTTTGTCTCCCCATCTGTGCCAGCTCTAAAAGACCACAAAGTGGGATTTACCTTCACAGGGGCTGGGGAAACAGTTTGCGGAGCAGATGGCTGGGAGGGTGGCAGGGGAGGGATTATAACCACTTTGGGGATCGGGGGCCTGAGAGGTGCTCAGGACTTTAATTGTGCTTCCTTAAATGAAGCTGTTAATTAGAAAGCAGAAGCCCCTCCCCACCAGGGGCTTGGCTCACCCCATTAGCCAGAGGAGCTGCTGCCCAATGCTCAGCCAGCTGGCTCGCCTGCCCCTCCCACTCCTGGCCTCCGGATCTCTGCTGGATGGCGCAGCCAGCCTCCCTGCTGTTCCTCCTGCATGCGGCTGACCGGAGCTGCCCTCTGCTTATTACTCACCATGGCTCCCCACTGCCCCCGACCTACCAGCTTCTCACGCTCACATCAAAGTTCCCTGCTCATCAGCTCTCATTCTAGCCACTCGAAGGTCCTGACATTCCCTGCAAGTCCCAGGCTCTTGAACACTCCACATTCTTTGCTGTGCTGGTCTCTCTGCCCTCCTCCACCCCTGGCCCCCTCTGCCTGGCTCAGGCCCACCCTTTCTTTCAGCCTCAGAGAAGCTGGGCATCTCTCCCAGCAGCCTTCTCGGAGCCCCAGGGCTGGATCAGGGGCCTCCCCTCGCATCCCCTACCCCTGGCCCTTGGGGCTCACCCTACCATTACCCATCTTCTAGTGCTTTCAGCCTCCTCTGGGGTGAGGAAAAAACTTGATTCAACTTCCTTCCAGGTCTCCAACCCTGAACCTGCAGAGCAAGCCTTAACAGAGCCTGCTGGGAGTGGGGGCGGGGGTGGGGTAGGGTGCTCCTGGGCCTGCCCCTGCCTGGATTGGACTGCAATGAGGAGAGCCCATTTCTCCTGCTTAGCCCCTGCCCTCACCAGACAGTGGCTCCCTGTGAAGGCTGGACCAAGGGCACAGCCCAGCTAGGCCCCCCAGTCCGTCTACCCAGACTAGGGCCACTTGGGCACTCACCCGGGGTCCACACAGCCCTGGATGTCAGCCACCCACGAGTGCTTCTGCAGTGAGTCGATGGTCTCCAGGATGTACTCAGCTCCGTTCTCCACCTGGGGAGGGTGTGGCCGAGACTCCAGATCACCATCAGCACCCTCAGCAGGGGGCTCTAGACCCCTCCCCACGGGTGTGAGCAGCAGGGAGACAATGGGGTCACCACCTCAAACCCAGGATAGGGTCCCAGGGTGGAGCACAGCCCACATTCTTGCAGCTCCTTCCTCTGCGGGCCACCCCTTGGGACTGTGGGGATGATGTCCAGCCCTGCTGACTTCAGGTCCTCAGACCCCGGAAATGCGGCCTCCGAGAAGGCCACGCTGGCTGGGGAAGGGATGAGTGGCCCAGCAACCCCATCGCATGCCCTGGGGCCCCTGAAATGGGGTGGAAGGGTGCTACAACCCTCAGGTCTGTGAGGGGCCGGCTGGCCCAGCACTGAGTTGAGGGCTCCCAGGCCTTCATGCCTGGAACTCTGCCTCTCTGACCATGCCCCTAGGTTAAGCGGCTTCCAGAGGGGAAGTAGGGTGGAGAAAGCCCTGGCTGTGGGCCAGCCCCAGAGTGGGATCCTGGACATACATTGTCTCATGATCTCTACCCAGCAGCCCTGTGAAGGGGGACATAGGTTTTCCCCATTGTACAGATGAGAAGACTGAGGTTCAGAGAGATCAGGTAACTCACTAGAAGTCACACCAGCACTCAATGGCAGCGCTGGGACGTGACACCAGGACTCTCTAATGCCCAGGCCACAGGCTCTCAGCTTCTTGTCATGTGTCTCAGTTAAAGAGCAGTTGGACCTCCAGCATCTCAGAGCGGGGAGGGTCTTTGGAGACGGCCTTCAACCCCTCTCTGAATGGATGGGGAAATCAAGGCCTAGAGCAGGGCTGGCAGGTGATCTCCTTGGCCTCAAGGCTCCTGAGCATAATCAGAGACACAGCGGCCGCCCAGCTGTCGGGAGCGAGGCTCTGACCTGTCTCACCCAGAGAATGGGAATGCCAGGCAGGGAGGGGCTGTGTCCTGAGCCCCTGGCCTCGGGTGACTCAGGGTCTGGGGTTGGCAAACGTTTGCTAAATGAATAAGGGAGTTCATGACTAAACAAACAGGGACGAGTAAAAACATAAACCCAACTGGGAGCCTGGAGAGGAAGGGGCCTGCTCCAGGCAGCATCGGGTGGGCGGGACCAGGCCTCCTTGGGAACTTGGCCTCACAAACACCCTCTAATCCTCCAAGGAGGCACAGGGCCACAGGCCTGGCAGCCTGCAGCTGTGTCCTCAGCAACCCGAGCAGGCCACCCCGGCGACGTAGGGCCTGGGGAAAGGACAGGCTGCCCCCAGACCCACCGGAGTGCCTCCCCATCCACCCTCAGTGCCTTTGTGCCCTCTGTGGGATCAGGAGGGTCCCTACACTCAGGTGCTGGTGACAGGAGCATTTGCATAACCGTTGCAGGCTGGTGACCAGTTCCTGCACGTGGGGTGGGTGCGTGCTGGCTCCAGTGGGGGAAGGGAGGGAGGAAGTGAAACTCAGGAGCTTCACCAGGCCCAGGAGGAAATGGGAGCAGAGGGCCCCACACGGTGGACAACACCTGGGGCCCATGGCTCCGAAGCCCGGGCCAGGATCGCGTCCCAGCCATGTGCTTGACATCTGTGTTGGGTCCTGGGACCCCCACCCCCCAAACCCGGGTTCCCTTCCCGGCCCTGCTGCTGGCCCTTTACCCTCACTCCCCCTACATGCCTCCCATGAGGGATCTGGGGGGCCAGAGGTGGGGCTCACCTTGAGCACGAACGTGTTGTCCTTCTCTGGCATCTCCAGGGGCATGGTGGTGCGGACCTCCATGATGGCCGACAGAGGGATGCTGACTTTGGGCCTGGAGGCCTGGGAGGCCAGAGGAAGGGGCAGTGAGACAGTGGCCCCAGGGCCTCCTGAAATCCTCTCTCCCCTCCCTGCTCTCCCCCCTCTCACAGCAGCCCTCAGCTTAGGATGCCAGGCCGCCCTGGTACAGAGGTGTTCCAGTTCCCATTTCACAAATGGGTAAGTTGAGTTTCTGGAAAACAGAAGGACCTCCCCATAGTCACAAAGCAAGTCAGGGACAGAGCTGGCACTGACATGAGCCTCCCATCTTGGAGCCCTGAGGGGGTGAACTCTGCCCCAGCCGCCCTTTTGCCCAGCATGTCCAGCACACCCACCAGATCTGCGTTTTTCACATTTGTTACATTGACCCATAGTAAGAAATATATCTGACATTGTGACCCAGTACATATGCACAGGTAAAGATATCTCTGAAACACGTTTCACCAGACAGTATTCACCCTGACTATGAGTGATGGAGAGTGGTGTTTTCTATTCTACTCTATTTCATTAAAAAACAACAACAACGCTTGTCTCCCGCTTCAGGCTAGACTTCCCATTAGCACAGCTCTGGAGCCCCCTACCCGGAGCAGGCCTCCTGGAGCCGGGCAGGGCTGTGTCTCCAGGTGGAGGAGGGGTCAGTGTGAGGATTAACCCAGGTGAGCTGGCAGGACTCCTGGGGAGGGCTTCTCTGTGCCTAGCCCTCCCAGATCTGCCCTAAAGCCCCTGGCCATGGCCCAAAGGCCCCCTGGGGCTGGCTTGAGCCTGAGATTCCTGGCAGGGCTTGGGCTTTGGGACAGGGACTTTCTTAAGAGGAAAGGGAAGGGCTGTTGGGTGGGCAGGCGGATGAGAGTTCCTGGCAGCACTGGCTGCCATCCAGCAGGCACAGGGCTGGGCTTGGAGCGGTGACGGTGGGGCCTGGCTGACCATGGTGGGTCATTGCACCGGCCAGCGGGCAGGGGGCCATGGCCCTGGAGTGGGTGGAGCAGACAGGTCTGCAGTGAAGGCCTGGACCGGGGACCGCAGCTGGGCTCCTGTTGGCCAGAGGTGCCAACTCCTCTGCCTGGCGTTTGAGGTCGGGTCAGTCCTGGCTCAGCTGCCTTTCATCTTGCTCCAGCTCACTGTTCTTGCTTCCCTGGCTGGAGCCATCAGGCTGTTTCATGACCCTAGGCCTTTGTTCCCTCAGCTCAAGTCTCCAGAAATGCCTGTTCTGGGGTTCTGGCACCTGGTGCTGCCTAAGTCTCTCCTGTTTGGGGTTCCCAGAGCTCATGCCGTTGAGGTTTACCATCCAGTCTGGCAAATACCAGTTTCCTGGTGGTGCCCCAATGGCAGGCAGGCTGCATCATTGCTCCCTGGGTCCCAGCACTGGCCTGGCCTAGAGGTACGAGGGGACCTGGAGTCGAGACTTCTCCTGTAGGGTGAGGGAGAGGGCAGGAGGCCAGAGACCTGACTCATGGGGCTCTCTGAGGGGGCAGTCTGAGGACCCCGGAAACAGCCCCTGAGCCTGCAGACCCCAGGCTTCCATCTGCTCCAAGGGTGCTGCTAGGCCCCAAGAGAAGGAGGAGATCAGGACTACGGGTGAGGAAACAGGACTAAAAGGCAGTGGGGGTGTCAGCAGGGGTGCCCCGTGGAGCTCATGCCCCCTAAGACCAAATTTATTTGGGAAACTGGACCTGAGACCTCACCATGGCAAGCTGTCCCTTCCCACAGGGCTCACTCCTGAATTCACAAGCGTTTGCATGAAAAAAGGAGGGTCTGAGGCCAGATCAGGGGTAGGAACCCACCTGCCTTTCTCAGAGGTTGGGCAAGTGACCCCTCAGGAGGCCTGCCCTCTGCTAGCAGTGAATGGTGGACTCAGGAGGGACTGACAGAGAGGCAGCTGCTGCAGCCCCTCCCTGGAGGGCAGCCGGCGCCGCTATTTACAGCTGGGCATCTGTGGCTGCCACTCAGGGCCCGGAGGCGTGGAAGCCCTGGGCCTCTGCCTCTGCCCTTTGGGTGACCCTAGGAAGGCCCCGCCTCACTTCCCACCCCTCACTGGGCCTCCAGCTCCCTGTCGGCCAGCCGTGGATCTGGGCTTAGTGGTCTGTGATTCTCTCAGGGACCTAAAATTGGGGGCCTGGGCAGGCACAAAGCCCTTGGGAAGTCTGGGGATGCTGGGACTTGGGGAGAAAGCTCTTTGGAGAGTACATGTGTCCCTGGGAAGTCACCTCTCCTGTGGCTCATGGACACCGTCCTGAGAAGCCCACATCCTGCACCTCCCATGGAAAGAGGCAAGGAGGAGCATCCAGAGTCCTGACAGCCTGGGAGATGGAGAGAGAGGAGAGACTCAGGGTGACTAAAGGCATCGGGATGGAGTGGCCCAGAGGTGGGTGGGGGCTCTGGGTGGTTCTTGGGAGGTGCCCCCAGCTTCCACACCAGTACACCATCCCACCTTTGCAAACCTCCCAGTGCACAAGGAGCTCCCACCTCCATGCTCCTTTCATTCCCAGGACCACCAGGATGGCAGGTATAATTAGCCCACCTCCGCCACCCACCAACTGTGTGACTGGGCAGGCCACATTCTGAGTTTTCGTTTATTTTCTCTTCTATGACCTGGGGACCACGATGCTCACCTTGCCTGAGTACTGGGAGGACGAGGGCTCTTAGAAAGTTGGCACTATTGTTAGAGTTATTCCCTCTTTCCAGACAAGGCAGCTTTGCCACCCTGGAGGAGACCCAAAGCTGCCGCTCCCGGAGCTCTGACGTCGCGCCCCAGAGAAGGCGGAAGGCAGGTACTCTCAGGTGAGCAGCAGTGCTGGTGACAGCCAGGAGCTTAGCTTTTCAAACCCGGGCTGGACAGGGGCCACCTGGGCAGGGGCTGGGCTGGGGCCTGGGAGCCAAGCTGGGGACAAGCAGGTTCCCACCAAGCCAGATGCACACTTCCCGCAGGCCCTCTCTAAGTGTGCCACTGTCACTCCGTGCTCCAGCCCCACAGCCCTCCTCTCTGGGAGGCTCTGGCCACTTAGGGGTCCCAGGTGAGGAAGAGGCAGCCAGGCTCTCCGGCATCACCAGGAACAGTATCCTGGAACCCCTTCTGTAGCCAGGAAGCTCTTCTGACACCTCACAGGTGGAGAGAGAGGGCTTGAAGGGTGACTTGTCCAAGAGGCAGAGGAGGTCCCCTGGCATCCCAGGCTCCTAACACTGAATACTCCATCCGGCCAGTTAGATCTGGCAGCGCGTTCCCCGAAGCCAGCCCCTGTCCCCGCCACCCGGCACCTATGCCCCTCTTGCAGTCCCCCCAGTTGGGGGTGGGCACTCACCTTGGGCGGCACGAAGAACTCAAGGCGGAAGCGCTCGCCCGCCACGGCCTTGCGCAACAGCAG